TCGAACACACTCTCTATTTGTAGGGGAGTGTGCGATTTTCTATGTGACCGAGAGTGTGTGTGCGGGTACATTTTTTTATCTGCGTGCTCGCGCAAAATATCACGCTCTCGAAATTTATAAAAAATGTTTTATATATATAGAGTATATTACAAACACCCCCTGAGAGGTGTGCACACTTTGAGAGAAAACCTCTCTCGTGGATACAGACATCCTCCCGCCCAAATAAAACCTCTCTCTCTCCCCCCCCCCCATGTTGTCAAAAACAACACACTCATATATATATTTTGGAATGTGCTTTTGTTTTTGGACACATTGTGTGAAAATATATTGTGTATTATATCTCACTGTCTTATATACACTCCAAAAAACACACATAATTTACTTCTCTCTCGCATATATAGAGTGCGAGAGAGATATAACGAGCACAAAAGAGAAAAAATTTTAGATAAAGTATAAGAATCCGCTCAATTTTATATTTTTGGGGGGAGTGTTTTAGATCTTACCCGGGGGGAGTATTTTTGATTTGTGCATACCTCACGGGTGTGTGTATTTTTATATATATATATATATATATATATATATATATATATATATATATATATATATATATATATATATATATATATATATATATATATATATATATATATTGGTGGAATGTTAGTGGAACGCATGTTATGAAAATTCCTAATTCCAAGCCAAACAAGAAAAGGCCACATTCAAACCCTACACTTCACGCCAAACCGGCATGCTCATTTTTTATCCTACTTTTCTAACTTTCCAGCCCACCAAACGCGTCCTAATCTAATTTAAAATGTTTATTGCTTGTTAAGGTCATGATATTGGATAATTTTGCACCATATTAGATATAAATAATGGTTTTATGTTTATGTTACAATCAATATATTTTATTCGATGTTACATAAAATATATAAAGAAAAAAGTAAATTTTACTTTGTTAAACCAGTGCATATTTTCTTGATCGAATATCATTTAAAATAAATACACCTTGAAAACAAGGTTTTAGTCTAACGGCCAACTTCTTTAACTTCTTGTGTCTTGTTTTGGAATATTTTAATGTTGTTAGGATCCATGGGATAGAGTAAACTGCAAAACGTACCCTTCTGTAGTATTAAAATTGCGGAAAACTCTCTATGATAAAAAAAAAAACTCGTAAAAAGAACCTCCTTGAAATTTTGAAATTTAGTCGAAAACAAAAACAACCCGTGATTCACTTCCGTGTAGCGCACTCACGGAACATGCGATTGGTGGGGAGTTTTTATACCTAAAATGACAGAATTGCCCCTGATTCCCATATTCACACTTTCAATTCCATCCTTAAGTCCCGCCTCCCACCACCGGACTCCACCATGGGCTGCTCTACCGTTTTTTAATTCCAAATACGAATTGAATTTAAAAAAGAAAATATGAAGAATATATATATTTCTTAATTAAAGATGGCATATAAATATATGAATAATTAATTATTACAAATATTCGGCTTTGCAACCTTTATTAGCCCACAAATATGGAACTTGTCATCCAAACTCACACTTATCTTATTGTCACTCTAAAATTCCTTAAACGACAAATATTCATAAAATATTTATTTTAATATTATTTTTATTAATCCAACGGTAGTATTTGTAAAGTTAAGGATTTCGAATAATAATAATAATATAATAATATAATAAAACGATTTAAGTTTCTTTACATAAATTCAATTACTAATTTCGTAATTATAATCACAGCCTTCGCGGTGACAGCTGTCGCCCACTCTATGGAGAGACGGAATTAGATCCATTTTCCGTTGGCCCATTCCCATGAAAGGCTTCCCACTATCCCGGATCCAACAAACATCACAAATTTCAACGAATAAGAATCCGACACGTACACAAAATTTAGAAAATTGTTTATCGTGATATACGGCAAGCTTCAACCATGATTTGATTTAATCCTAGCCGTCCAATTTTTTGACCATATTTATAATACGCAAAAAAAAAAAAAAAAAAAAAAAACAGCACGGGAAAAAAAATTACGAAGGTTTAATTCCTTTCTTATTTATTTCTCTGAATAATAATAATAAGAAAAGAAGGAAACCATAATCTATCTTTGTTGGTGATGGTCCATCATAAGACTGAAGTCCTCGAAGCAGACGAATCCGTCTCCGTTTCTGTCAACGCCTCTTATCATGCGCCTGCAATCCTCTAACGTGCACTTGGCGTCGCCGATCGTTCTGAACACGCCGAAGAGCTCCTCCGCCGTGATCTTCCCGTCGCGATCGGAGTCGAAGAAGTCGAACGTCTCTCTCATCTCCGTGTCGCAAGTCGGCGGCGCGAAAGCCGAGCCGATCGAGTGGAACTCCTCCAGCGTGATGCATCCGTCGCCGTCCCTGTCGACCTCGCTGAGCATCAGGCGGAGCTCCTCCCGGCTCGGCGGATCCGCGCCGAGGCCGCACAGCAGATCCTCCAGCTCCGCCTTGGTTACCTTCCCGTCGCCGTCTCTGTCGATCATCTCGAACGCCTGCTTCAGATCGAAGTAGACGTCGGCGGAGATTTCCGACCACTCCTCCGTCGATATTTCGGCCGACGACGCGGTGGGGAGAACGCTGGTCGGAGTTGACAGGCCGTTCGGCTTTTTGAAGACGTCCTCCGACGAGGAGGCGGAGGAGGACGACGTCGTTTGGGAGCTGAAGGACGACGTCTCCGCCTCGGATCTGGTAACGGATCGGGATTTCTTCGACTTCAGTAGCTTTCCGGGGATGATTTTGGTTAGCTTCATGGCGGAAATTGCGGAGAAAATGAAAACTCAACCCTAACAATTAGAGAGAGAAGGAAGAAGAAAGGCAGAGAAAAAGAGAAGGGAGATTGGGGTTTGAGAGGAAACAGAGAGGAAGAAGCGAGGGTTAAATGCTGCAGGATTGAAGCCATGGGAGTGAGCTTCCTCGAAGTTTCCTAGAGAGAGAGAGAGAGGAGAAGAGAGAGAGTGTGTGTGTGACATTTTGAAGGTGCATAAATATAAAGTATTAATTGGAAAAAGACTCCTTTGAAATTTCTTTTCAAATTAAATTGCAAATACATATATATGTGAACCGGATAAATTCGTTTTCGTGCATTAATACGTAGAAATTACACCACGTAAGCTATGTGCGACGGACTTTTATACGTTGAATTTGTCGCATATATTAATATGTAGTTTATGATTTATTATTAGAAATCGAAATTTATCCAGTACACGTATACCACGCTTCTTGTTAGCACTAATTTTGTGATGTTTGTTTGAAATAGTTTGTGAGGACACTTTTTGTGAACCGGCTTTTTTGGTAAATGGCCTAATTAATTAGGTGTGGTGATTTGTGGAGTATTTTTGTAATTTTATAGAAATGTTTTGAAGTCAATATTGTTGATAACAGTACTTAATACCGAGTTGACTCATGTTTAACTCGTATACAAGATTAAATTAATGGTAATAGTACCAAATACTGCATGCAAAAGCAGTGAATGTTTTTCCTTTTTTTTTTGTTAATTTAATTTAGTCATTACTTTTCTTGCAACTTGGTGTATTTTATGAAATTGAAGTGATTAGATTTGTATATTAATTGAAAATTCTGTACCAAAAAAGAAAAATACAATTACAGAAAGTTCATCTGAATTATAAATAAATAAAGAAACAAACAAACCTTGTGATATGTTTATGGCTTTATGCGCACTTTTGTCTTAATGTTTTAACCTCGTCATATACTCTATCTGTCCCATATTATATGTCTTTTTAGAGAGTTTTTCTTGTCCCAAATTATTTGTCATTTTAGATTTTCAATGCATCATTAATTGCACTATTTTCAATTTTACCCTTTATAACTCATAATTAGTTAGTTGTAAAACAATTAATGTCAATGATATATTAGTATTTTCCTATGTTTTTTACTATAATCTATACACATTTATTGATTTTCTTAATATGTGTGAAACAACCCAAAACGTCATTTAAACTGGGACGGAGGGAGTATTAGTTCAGTTGAACTATTCATTTTTTGGGCCGGATTGGATTCTTTTGGGAGAATTACAAATTTTACCCCTTGAGTTTGCACTAATTCAACATTTGGTCCCCCATATTTACAAAAATATATTTGATCCCTTATATTTCAATAATTTAACATTTATGCTATTTACCATTAGTTTACCGGTACTCGTCTGTTAAAGTAGTGATAGGCACATGCTTGATTCTTTTATTACTAACAAAAAAATGATAAAAATGACTAAAAATACTGAATTTTTAAAATTGGGGATCAAATATGTTTTTTCTTAACATGAAGGACCAAATATGTAATCGAGCAAACTTGAGGCATCAAAATTATATTTTCCTGATTCTTTCCAACGGAAACAAAAGAACAGTCCATGCAACAACGCCCAAGGTGAGGTTCAAACAAATACTTTCAAATTGGAGATTTTATAATAAAAACAAACTAATATAATGGAAAAAAATATAAAATAAAATTGTGCATCAAATCAGCAAGTGCCATGATAAAATTAAGGACTGGAATAATACAAACCATTGGATCTAAAAATGGAATAAATTTGATGTATTTATCATAATCATTGGCAAGTTTGTATCACCAATCTCTTTAACTTAAAGCATGATTAATAATTATGACAACAATCAACATAATACCTAACTAACAAATGAAATATGATCACTATTATTATAGTAGTAACTAGCAATTATGTTATTTTTAAGAATGAAATAATTAATATTAAAATAGAAATATTACTACTATTATTATAGTAGAAACTAGCAAATATTAAAATAGAAATTTAGTAAGAAAACAATATACATTCTTCCAGAAAAAGTGCAATGCCACGCGGAAATATGTTGCAGAAGTGGCAAAAAAATCCAAAATTTGTTGCCCAATTTAGGGAAATTTTAATATTAATTTAACAATTATTGTGTATTGGTAATAATATCTCACCATATTGTTCGGTGATTTAATTATTTCAATTGGTATATTGTAATTGGTTGGTGTGTGTGTTTAAATATATATATGTAATGTGCATAAAAAATATTATATTTCCGATAGATTCTTGCACCAAAAGACGAAATCTCCGGGTCTGGTGCCCGAAAAAAAACAACCCTCGTTGGAGCTGAAATTTTCACACTGCGGCTATCAGTACTCGACTCGAAAACCTTACACCAACTTACCATCCCGAAACCAGTTGAGTTATACATATACGAACATCCCGAGAGATTCTTGAATATATTTGTTGGCAATTATATAATACTCATTTTAATTATGTATTTGTTGTTTGGAATATCAGACAATCACATGTCTAGCAGTGATAATCATTAGGTAAGAAGTAAACGAAGGAAGGTAGGAATATTGAATTATTACTTATATTTTTTTTTTCAATCATTGATGAGACTTTATTTTATTTATTTGTTTATGGTATGTAGTTGTGCTATACATTATTGGGAAACAAAATGAATATTGAATTATTACTTATATTTTTTTTTTCAATCATTGATGAGACTTTATTTTATTTATTTGTTTATGGTATGTAGTTGTGCTATACATTATTGGGAAACAAAATTATATAAATGAATACTTAATCAATTAGGAATCAAAATTTGATAATGAAATCAAATTGAATTCACCAAATCTCTATACCTAGGATTGTGTGACATTGTGTTGCAGTTGAGATCACCAACTTGCAGCTACCCATATTTTAGTTGTTCCAATAAATTGATATATTAATTTAAACTTCTATAAATTAATATAATCGGGGATCAATAAAATTTTATTAACTTAATAAAATATTAAATTATCGAATTAACAATTTAGTAGGTTTTTACTGAGTCCGCGACTGATTTTTTTTTCCAGCGAGAACACTGAGAAAATAAAAAAGAAGGGCTCAGTCTTAATAGAAATTAATGTTTGGATAAAACACGACCAGTTAATGTTTTGATAAAAATTCTTTCTGGCATCATTGACTTCCGATAACTCACAGAAATACTGCCGACGGTGCCACAATTTGTTCGAAGTAATAGGACGTTGCGCCGTCATTTTTTCGGTGTATTTAGGTGACAAATTCAATTTGAATTTGAAATTTCAATTGATAATAAATTTATGAAGTGCATTAAGTAAATAATATTTTGCAAGTGGATTTAATTTATTTATTTTATAGATTAATGTATTACGGGCCGACAAATAGTGGAACACGGGTACCACACGGCACTGCAAACCCCACCATTCTTTTGTTCCTTCTCTAAAGTCTTTGGCCCGGATGACGAAATTTTTAAGAAAGCCCATTTACGAAATTTCTTGGTATAATACATTGTATTATTTTATATATATATATATATATATATATATATATATATATATATATATATAATGTCTTTAGAATAATTTAAAAAATAGATAGTGTGCAAATATGTAAATGATAATATAAGATGAAATATATAATTGTAAATATTGATTTTCCTCACAAGTGAATTATTTGGAATCGGAAGACTGTAGATTCTTGATCTTGGTTGTTGCTTTTCGCACCGTTTTTATGAGATATTTTACTTCCGCCTTTCTCGAACCCTTATTTCTAATATTTTCTCCTCTCCTTCTCTCATTTGATCATACATCCGCACTGAATGCCACTTGGCATATTCGGACGACGCAACCGTTTGACTATAACAATGGTCATGGTCATTCCTTTCTTGCTCTCTGCTTTAGAGACAAATCAACTTTTCCATCTATATTGTAAGCCCTTATGCGAGTGATAGAGAGAGGGGGAAAAGACGAACACAAAATTTGAATCTTTGTTGATTTATGAGATCCTTGTTCTTCGGTGTGTGAGTGAGATTCACTTCCTAGTAAAGGAAACACGAGAGAGTTCAAATCTGGTCAGGTGGGGTTTGGGGGAGAAACTTGGCCAAAAATCTTAGTGATTCCGGTCAGATCCATGGTTCCGATGACTGTGTTTTTTGCTGGGCTGTTGGTGCCTCATCGATAGATTTTGGATGAGAAAACGTAAAAAGAAAACTGAGCCGTAATAGAAAGCTCAACTTCTCCATTCACAATCAATTTCTTAAATCATCTTAATCCTAATCCTATGTATATGTATATATATATATATGTGTATATATATGTATTATGACAAAACACTAGGAAAAGAGTGTGGCAATAAAACGCTAAAATGAGGTGGACCACTAGACATGGTTGAGAGTTGAGACATAATAAATAAAAGGGAAGTTTGATGTTTGACTAATCCTTTAATTCCATCTCTCCATATTTTCCGACCAACTCATGTGGAAGTGAATGTATACCCAATAAACAACCTTTTCCTTCATACATCAACTCATCAATTATTTCATTTTCCTCAAAAATAAAATAAATAAAAAAAAAAGAAAAACCATCAATTATTTCATTTAATTATATAAATTTAATGAAATACAATAATACAGGGTAAGGCCCTGTTTGATGACCACTGAATGGCCTCTGAATGAGCAATTTCCTCTTATTCGGTAAGCATGATCTCATTCAGTGTGTTTGGGATGAATCTCTGAACTGAATATTTTACCTCTTATTGGTTCAGCCAAAAATCATTTGCTTATTCGGTAAGATGTGTACCCCAGTGAGTTTTGGTAAAAAATAAACCCTCCACGGCTATCTCATATCTCTCCTACATCAATGGAAGCTAATAATAAATTATTATTTTGACAAAAACTAATGTGAAATGAAGGATTAAATGAGGAGACAGTGTATTTGTGTTATTATTATTATATTTGTTTATTATTATTATATTTGTTGTTCCTGCTATCATCATTGTATTTGATATGATAGTAAGTACTTATACATTTAATATTTGACCTTTAATTTTATCTACAATTTTATTTTTTGGCATAATATATTCTATATGAAATATTCTAAATTTTAAATTTATTTATATATATTACTCAAATTTAATTAATAAATATAATTTCACCATTACACAAGTTTATAACAAGAAGATAATATTATTCAGTAATTATTGATATTCAGTTATCAAATGGACTTAATTGTTCGGCATTCAGCATTCAGACATAACTCTTATTGATTCAGATATTTATTCAGCATTCAGCATTCAGTGCTTAATCCTGTCAAACGGAGCCTAAGCCTCTATAGATTAATACAGGGTAAGCCTCTAAGATTAATAGAGTTAAAACCAACCAAATTCTACTAATTTAACGAAATATTTTTTTAGAAATATAAGTCGTCCTTGAGTTGGGGCGAGGACAATTATTATTTAAACGAGGTTCTACTATTGCATAACATATATAAAGCATGTTATTATAACATATATCTTATGAAATATACAAAATCTTTATCAACCAATATTGTGTCAAATCCCTTAAATAAAAATTAAAAAATAAACAAAATTACATTCATTCTACAAAAAAATTGCTCCAATTTTTTTTTCTTTCCTTATTTACATATCCCATCAATTCATCAACCATCCATTACATGCTTATCGCACGACGCATCATCGACCGTTGTTTGGTCCACGTCATCACCGCCAGCTTCCGACGCTGAGCTGGCGTCATCCATCATTTCCTTCCCCGGACTATCGAGCTGCATCACACACTCAGCTACCGAAGAATCACGAGGAGAATTATTATTATAATTATTATTATTATTATTACTATTACTACTATTATTATGTTCGAAATCGACGCTCCTATTGGACGAAGAAGGCGTCAAAGCCTCCTTCCTCACAACATTAAAAACAATACCGTTATTACCAATCCGCTCGGGCTGTAAGAAGTCACCCTCACCCACCGTAATACGATTGTACTCAGTTTCCGAGTTCCGATTCGGTATGGTGACCCTCAGGCCGCCCTTCTGGTGCACCGACACCAAACTCTTGTTGTTCGTTCTCGATTCTATCTCGAGATTCTGCACAAAGTCAACGAACTGGTCAGCCGAGGTTGTCCTCATCAGTGGGCCCCCCGATCTAGTCCAAGAACCGAGATCGCCGCCCTCCGATTCGCTGTCGCTCCCTTCGTACACGTGGCGCTGCTGTGACCGTAGATTATTTCTCACAAAGTCTTCTTCTAGAGATCCGGAGGAGTTTTCTCGGTTGAGGACGTTCCAAGAGGGGATCCTTTTCGACGCGTTGAATCTTCCCGACGTGACGATTGTGGTGGGCCCATGGGAGGATGAGGTGGCGGCGGCGGCGGCGGCTCTTTCGGCGCTTCTCTTTAGTCGACGCATGTGGTTGAGTATCGTGACACATTCGTCGAGAGCTAATTCGATTCCGCAATTGGCTTTTATAGCAGAGAGCTTCTCCCATGTGCATCTTCTGCCTTGGTTTGCCGACTTTTGAAGCTCCGTGTATGATGGATTTTGTATTATCTTCGATAGCTGAAAACACAACCAAAAATATTGAATATTAGTGAACACATTATTTTTTCGAAGGGTGAATTACAACCACCCCTGAGGTATGGTCATATTACAAAAAGCCCCCTCTTGTTTGGATAATTACATCTAACCCCCTCAATTATGAATCTTCTTACACCTCCGCCCTTATGGTGTCAAATTCAACATAATCATCTAGATTCCGTGGAATGTGCTCTAGTTTGTACTCATTTTGTGTAAAAATACAGTTTCTGTTGCACCACAATTTGATATATACAAGCCAAGAAATACATTTTATGATCATCTTGTTTCAAAATGTGGAGCTCGAATTGAATAAAACAAGTACAAAAGTGATAATATTCTATATAATCAAGAAGATTCCACTAAATTTGAAACCGCAAGGGTGGACGTGTAAGAAAATTTATAGCTGAGGGGTTATTGTAATTACCCAAACAGGAGGAGGGTTTTCGTAATTTTACCATACCTCAAGGGTGGTTGTAATTTACCCTTTTTTCGAGATACGTACAATCTAGAACAGTGCCTATACGTCATTTAAAAAAAAACGATTGCAGTTTGCAGATATCGTATTTCTCGACGCTTTATATCTCTTATTCTATTCATTTCCTTGGAAAAAAAATACAAGTGTCTATATATTAGTAAAATCAAGAAACGGGCCTAGTTAAGCAAAAAAATTCTTAAATACCGGCAACTTCAAGTAAAACAAAATACAGGTTCGTAAATTCGGACGCAAGCATAAAATTTCGAAATGTGATTAAACCCCATCGTAAATAAATAAATACGTAATAATTTGTATCAATACCTGAGCTAAAGTAGCAGGCATAACGACAGTGACATCACCCTCCCAATCTTGAGCAAACAGCTTCGCAAGTCCGCCAAGCGGAAAACCGAGCTCCAATATCTGATTACATCTGTGCTTCACCTCCATCTCCGTTAAATGAGCAAGCTGCACATATCGAATTTCTCCATTTTATTATTTTTCCTTCGAAAACAAAAACAAAAAGAAAAAATGAATATACCTTTGCGGCAAAGTTGCCACCGTAGGCTCTAACAATCTCCTTAAACCTAAGGAGAGGCGCAATATGCGGATTCGCCTGGCTCACTATAAAATGGTTCACATTAAAAAGCTCCTTCAACTGCATCATCGGCAAATCAATCTCCAAGCTCCCATCCCTCCACCTTCTCGAAGAAGAAGATGCTCCGGACGATTCCTCGTCGGGCCCGAGATGAAACGGAGGATGATAAGGCACGATTTCGCCGCTCCGATCTTTCGCCATCAATTCTTGAGCTTCGAAAAGTCCCGGAAAAGCACAAGAAGCAGTCACAGCGCTCCATATGACGACATGCGGCGAAGTCAGGTAGTTCAGACACCTAGGCGGCTCGTGCTTCCTAGGCGAACAAACCGTTATGCCCAAGATTCGCCCCGTCATGTCGTAAGCCTCTTGGAAAGTCAAATTGTTGGTCAAATGTCGCAGCATAATCTGTAATTGTCTGATTTCGTGTACAGCGCCTTGTGTGGTGACACGTTTAAAGACGGTGAATATGCTCCCCATTTGATCGAAGAACTGAACCGAATGCCACGAGTCTTCGAAGAAACTCTGTATTTCAGGCCAAGACCTAGTTGCCACAACCGAGCACATAATGGACCCAACGCTCGAACCCGCGATTATACGAGGTAATAATTTATGCTCGACTAGGGTTTTTACTACACCGACATGAAAGGCACCTAAAGAAGCACCACCGCTCAATAGTAACGCCGTTCGACCAAATGCATGCCTTGTTTCGTGCATGAAAGCCAGCTTCTCTTCCAACAGAAGCTCTTCCGAATCGGAATCACACACCATACGTAACTGTGTGGTGACTTCGTCGATGTATTCTTTTATTAGTTTCGGTACGTGGAGTCGACCTTTGTGGAGTTCGGAATTGCACATGTTTCCCATGTTTCTTACAAGATCGGCTCTCATGCAGAATATGATGTCTCGAAGCGAGCCCTCTTGTCTTCGATGACGAAGCTCCTGGAGTTTGTTTCTCACGAGTTCTTCGTCATACAGATCGGATTCATTCATTTTGAGGGATTCTTTATCGAGCATTTTGGCTGCGTGGGCCCACTCGTCGTAGTTCAGTGCGGCCCTCATCATGTTTCGCCAGAATTTCCTCCGGTACGCCATTTCGGCTTTCGTTTTCACGTTTGTGTAGCGTTTGAGCAAGAAGGCGATTAGCGTCACCATTGCTAGTATGCCTTGTGGGTTACGAGGGTGGAACCATGATATTACAGGGGATAAGTAGTGTTTCAGACAGGTGTTGAACTTTTTGAGGTAGATTATAAGGATTCCGAAAACTTGGTGCCTTAGGTGTGACATGGATTTACAGAACAAGATTCTGAAAGCTACGGTTCGACCGAAGAGCGTGGTGGGCCCAATCGAGAACGAATCGACCGTGGCTTCGTTACTTATATCCATGGCTTTAGTAGTAGCTAAGTTAAAAAATTAATCCTAAAGATTTATTTTTTGTCTGTCTATAAAAAGCTTCAAGAATTAAATAAACTTAATAACCCTAGTAATTGCTGAATGAATCAATAAATACCAAGATGGAGTAATATATAACTAAAGGGGTTTTTTCAGCAAACCCAAATACAGAATAAACAATGAAGAACCGACAATCAATAGCTTAAAAAACTGAAGAATGAAAATCGAAACCTCCGATGATAAATTCGACCAACAATCAGCTCTCCTAACACCCAGAATCAAGAACAGATAACAGAGGATTCCTCCTCTGATGATTCTGCCCAGAAATCAAAAGGGGGGAAATTGACCTAAAATTTTTCAGCGGCTCCCCCTTTTGAAAAACCTTAAGAAAACACCACTCAACAAGAATGTAAGAAAGTAATTTGCGAAGATGGGTTATAGCTGGGCTCTGATCTTTCTTCGAAGAGAAGGGAAAATTAAAATTAAAAAAACCTAAAAAGTATGGAATTGAAATTAAATGCGTACACGGGTGAAGTATGGAGATAAATTGAATTCCATCGGGATTGGCAAAAGCAAACAAGCTTGGATCGGATGAGATGAGATCAGATGAGATAACGGTGTCGTTTTATTGCAGTGACGTTTGATAGCAATCGGCCGCGGATAGCTACGGATGAAAATCTGGTACAAGTCTTGTAAATGATCATCTTTCAAACAATAAATAAATATATATATATATATATATATATATATATGGCAAATTACGGCCAACCCCCTGAAGTATGGCTAAATTACGAAAAAATCTCTTTTAGTTGGGTAGTTACAGTCAACCCCTTCTTTTAAATATTCTTATATAAAATTTTATGTAATTCGGGTATTTATCGAACCAAATCGTATATTCAGTTCGGTCAACGGTATGAAATGTTGGTGTACCTGTAATTACCCAAACATGAAGGGGTATTTTTGTAGGATAATACATAGTTGAGGGGTGCTTGTAATTACCCAAACATGAGAAGAATTTTTGTAATTTAACCATAACTCAAGGTGGTGGCCGTAATTTGATAGTATTATTTGTCACGTGTCATACATATATATATATGTATATTTTTTTTTTTTTTAAATCAAATTAAGCTTTACTCTTCAAAAAAAAAAAAACAATTAAGAAAAGTAGCAACATAACCGAAACGGTGTCGTTCACGGCTAATTGTGTCACATTTGATTGCACTTGGTGGATTATGTCTGAAAATCAATGGGCCGTAATCATTAAGCCGGGTCACATACTATTGGGCTTGGAGTAATATATTAAAAATAATGGGCCGGATTCATAATTAATCACATTTTTTATTCAACAATAAGCCCAAAAAGATTTGAAAAAACGAATAGCATAAATTACGGCCACTCCCCTAGGGTAAAGTCAAATTATGAAAAACCCCTCTTGTTTTGGTAATTACAATCACCTTCCTCAACTCTGAATCTTCTTTCACATCCAGCATAACAGTTTCAAATTTAATGGAATCTTCTAAATTATCTGAAATATTCTCCAATTTGTACCCGTTTTACCTCGTTCGAGCTCCACATTTCAAAAGAGGATGATCACTAAATGTATCTCTTGACTTGTAGATATCATATTATGGTGCATCAAAAACAACATTATTGGCACAAAACAAGTAGAAATCAGTGTAGGCGATAGACTGTAATCAATGACATACAAATCAATGGAAGTTCGTCCGACCCATAAATCAATGACATACAAATCAATGGAAGTTGGTAAATATTGAAAGCCGTTATTGATCCAATTCACGTGGGTTGGGTGATGGTTGAAAACCAATTTGGTGGGTAGGTTGGTGGTTTGGTTGATGGGTCATCCATCTAAATATTTTTTTTTTAAATTTTATTAGTTGTTACGACGCTACATCTTTTATAAATTAAATATGACTAGTTCAATAATATTCAAATAAAAAAAAATCAAAACACTACGGGCCATATGTATTGCAATTAAACATAAATAGTTCAACAAATAATAATCGTCCAAATATTTAGGCTATATATCTTAAAATTAAAATAGTTCAAATTAAATACTTATGTTAGATTTATTGTTTTTAAGATTTTGGTCAATATTAGCTAATTTATAAATGTGATATAAAATAGAAATTTGAAATTAAAAGATTAAACATTTTAAATAAATAATAAATTAATAAATAAAGTTGGTTGGCCGATATTACCCGACTAACCAACTTTTTAGCATATTAGAAACCATTATCGACCCAATTATACATGGGTTGGTTGACATTATCGATCCAACTTAAATGGGTCGGCTGATGGTTGATTATCCGTCACAAATTATGGGTTGAAAATGGGTTGGTCGGTGGTTAAAACCGATCCATGCACAACCCTAATTCCAACCGTCAAGTAAGTCGAACTCGTTTTATATATATATATATATATATATATATATATATATATATATATATATATATATATATATATATATATTTAATATATTATTTTTTTAAATTGATGAAGTTGTTCCTTTTAAATAAAATCAACAATAATATTATTTTCTTATAAATCAAATTGAAGACCACATGAGAAGTTGCATTGGTCCATGTGACACTCATTAGCTGTAGATCCACATTCTCTAAATTACTAAAAAGTATTATTATTTTCTAAATTTGGGAAATTAATTACAATTTTGATTTTATAAGACCTTAGAGAAATTAAGCGACCCTTTAGTTTTTAATAATTGTCGGTGCCGCCACAATTATTAGTTTGCATTAGTTTACATGAGAACAAAATTGTTTAACTTTACAATTTTCAATTCAATAGTATTTCATCCAATATGAATTGATTGTAGGGAAAAATTACCGCAACCCCACTTAATGTTAAAATTACGAAACAACCCTTCGTGTTTGGGTAATTGTTAAATAGTCCCCTTAACTGTGTATTTCTTACAAAAAAATACCTCACTCAATAAGTAAATTTGAAACCGTAAGAATTGACGTGTAACAATAAAAAGTTGAGGGGTGATTATATGGCCGTAATTTACCCTTGATCATAAAACAAATTACTAAAATAAAGAATCATGAACCAAAACTGTGGCCAGCCTCATCTCTCTGATGGGATCTATTGTTTCACAAGAATTATGATTATTATTATTATTATTATTATTATTTAATAATAATAATAATAATAATAATAATTAAAAAAGAAAAAAAGAAAAAAAAAAGGCCAAGTCAAGACACCAATGTTGTACGAGTCAAAATGTCACAAATAACCATATAATTCTCGGATTTTTGTGCTGGTGATGACATATGTTTTTTCATCTAGAAAGTAAAATAAAATAAATAAATAAAAACCCAATTGCTTGAATACAAAATCCAACTTTGAAAAATCTTATTTGTATTACAATCATTAGTCATCACCTGCCATTTTTCTCGATCAACAAAATTGGAAAAAAAAAAAGGGGAAAAAGAAGAAAAGTTCATCCAGACAAAAAAACAGTCAAGAAAAATCATATTCAGCAATTTCCCACTTGCACCCATTTCTTGATTCTGTGTAATAAATATTTGGGCTAAATACACTTTGCACCCCTGAAGTATAGCTCATGTAACACTTACCCCCTTAAAGTATCATTTGTAACACTTACCCCCTCAACATTAATTATTTTATATTTAAAAATTTAAAAAATAATAAACATAACAATCTAATAATTAACGGTTCATAGAAAATTGAAAAGTAACTAAAATTAATTATTGAAAAAAAATTAAAAAGTAATATATATTGGATAATAATGAATGAAAATATATTTAAAAAAAACTAATGAACTAAAATAAATTTAAATACTTAAGATTTCTATTAGTTATGTATTGATTTCTTAAAATTTATCGATAGAGTATTTTTAATTAATTGGTCCAACAACAATTAGATGTTATTTATTGAATAAGTATCCAACGCAAGATAATATTTTTAAATTTTAAAATATTGTATTTTTCAACAAATATTTTTAGTTGTATAATTTAATTATTCTTTTAGTTATTCCTTACAATAAAATAATTTTTTTAAGGTATTAAAATTTAAAATACAAATTAAATTGTGCTTGAGGGGGTAAGTGTTACATATGATACTTTAAGGGGGTAAGTGTTACAGAGGATATACTTTAGGGGTGCAAACTGTATTTAACCCTAAATATTTAACCAGAGTTAGTTCAGAGTTCAGACAAGTTCCTTCTGTTCAATATATGCAATCTGGTGAGTCTTTCTTTACAGTTGACTCCTCTCTCTCCTCATGGGAGAGTAATATTATTTTGCAGAAATCAGAAAATTAAAAAAGAAAAAAAAACCCAATCTTTTTGAACTTTTGAAAATCCCAATTTCATCTGTGTTTTGATCAAATTTGGAATGGAGTCTTCCAATTCATCACCAAATTACATGAGGGCCACAAGCAGATTTGATCCCAAGAAAGAATATTCCCCTGTAAGTTTTTCCAATTCTTCAAGATTGTTTTTTTATTCCATAGCGTGTGTGTGTGTGTGTGTGTGTGTGTTTACTGTGTGTATTTGGTGATTTAGGGATTTTATTGATGTTGTTTACATTTGTCAGGAGGAAGAAAGTGATTGTGATGAAATGAAATCAATTAACAAAATCAAACACACAACAAACAATAAAAAACCAATGAAGAATTTTGGCAGTGTAAAATCATTCCGTAGAAGAGTACCTAAATCAAGAATCCCTCAATCCCCTTCACATAGTAGTACCGTCTCCGATTTCGATTCCTCCGAGTCGTCGTCTTCGTCGCCGAACTATTTAAAAGCCACAAGCTCTTCCAAGGGCAAGAACACGAGCTTCCAGACGAGCCCTCTTCGTGTTTCTGATTCTCCGAAACCGAAACCTAAAACCTTGTCAAGAACATCTAGTAGAAATGTGAGGGTTTTGATAAAGAAGGCTAGCTTCAAGCCGAAGAGGTCTCCGTTGAGTTCGAGTGATCGTTCGAATGTCGTTTCTGTTGATCGAGCGACGCATTCTTCGATTCTCAAAGATTCAACCAAGTTTCCGAAGCTAGTCGAAGATGTTCATTCGGAAAGGGCAGAATCGGAAGAAGTTTCGAGAGTTAAAATTTGTCGATACCAACATTGCTCTCTCCACGGGCATTGCCATGGCGATCACGAAAATGCCGTTCCTCCGTTGAAGAAGTTCGTGTACAAAAGAAGACTCTCGATGAAGAAGCAAAAGGGTAGCGTCGTACCTAAAACCGAGCCTAGTGGTAAGAAGAAGATTAATATTCTGCAGGATGAAAGGCAAACGGTTACTATTGCAGAACCGTGGAATCAAGAACTCGGAAAGGAAGTGCAAATTCAAGACTCGGGACTTTTTGAAGTTGCATTTGGCGAAATATCGTTTCCCGAGAGAAGTTATCGGGACAGTCTTGAAATAATTGGGAAATATTCTTTGCCGGAGTTTGGTCTGAATGGTTATTGCTTGAAGTGCTCGTGCTCGATTATTAATGTGAATAATAATGAGAAGCCGCCAAACGAAGTTATTATTACAAATGAAGAATCGAACACGGATTGCCGGAAAACTCCGGTGAAAGTTGATGAAGCAACCGAAGAGAAAAGTGTGTTTTCGTATAGCCAAACTTCGAGTGATAACAATTCCGGGGAAGAAGTAGAGTCGATAGCCGAATCTAATCCGATTCGAGTTCCGAAAATTAATGAAGACGTTGTTGAGGGAGTTAAGGAAAATCAAGAAAGAGGCAGCAAACTCGTGTTCAGCAAACCGAGGCATGTCAGCATGTGGCACCTTATACATCAGCATATGTCATCGTCTAGTTCGAGCCCTGAAAACAAGTTGTCTGAAAATGACGATTCTCTCCCTGCTATGGAAAGTGCGGATTCTGACGTGGGCCCTACGGAAAATGCAGAATTGGAAATTGAGGTACGGAAGCTGTTTGCAATAAAGCTCGTCCGACAGGCGATTGAGAAGATTCTTCTTCCCGAGATTCAAGACCAATCATCTGATGACATGTCGGTTACGAGCGAAGACACTCCAAGATCAGAACCCGTCGAAGAAAATCAAAATAAAGGTAATAAATGAAACATACTTCACTTGTCTTATCTCGACTTTCTTCCTATGATATTATTTCTTACAGATTGTACCGATTTTTTATTTTTATTTTTATTTTTTTATCATGCAGAGTTTGATGCTGATAAGGGAGAAATGAGTGTGCAGTCTAATCCGAAAGAGGAAAGTGTAGTAACGGATGATGTAAGAAAATCGGAGAAGAAAGCACCGAAGCATTGGAGCAACCTTAAAAAGTGGATTCTTCTACAAAGATTCATCAGAGCGTTGGAGAAAGTGAAGACATTCAACCCCAAGAAACCGAAGATTCTGCCACTAAATCCCGACCCCGAGTCGGAAAAAGTCAACCTCCGGCGTCAAACGGTTGACCAGAGGAAAAATTCCGAAGAATGGATGCTCGATTACGCAATCCGCCAAGCTGTGAGCGAGCTGGCCCCTACTCAGAAGAGAAAAGTTGCGTTGCTTGTAAGAGCATTCGAAACTGTGGTTCCTTCTGAAGAAGAATATTCTCCAGTTCAGTCGAGAACCTCCAAGCTCAAAGAATATTTTTCCGAAGGAAACGAAAGAAATGAAGTGCTGTCGGATAATGGATGTACAAAACCTGAAGAGCCATCTTCAATAACAACCGAAAGCTTGATTCTTGATGATGATGGAGGAAAATCAGTGGCGAATGAGATTACGGCAGACGAGAGAGAAAGAGTGGCTAAGCCAACACTCGAAGCTATTCAAGAAGATGAGAGAGAAAGAGTTGAAGGTGTTCGAGATGAGAGAGAAAGAGAGGTTAAGCCTATTCAAGAAGATGAGAGAGAAAGAGAGGCAGATAAGCCAACACTCGAAGTTATTCAAGAAGATGAGAGAGAAAGTGATCACCAATCATTCGAAACAGACAAGAAAAGCCGAATCAAAATGTGGCATATGATATACCAACACGTGGTTTCGGGTATCGTCGAGAAAGTCGGGAACCAGCTTCTCGATGGTTCGGATGATGACGCGTCGGATGAATTATCACCTGCAGCTGCGGCAAACGATCTAAGAAACGGGCTCACCAAATCGGACGCTCTCAAACTCGTGAAAGAGGCGGTCGACGAAATCCTCCTTCCTGAAGATTCCTCGAATATCCAAAAATCGGACGCTATTGTAAGTGGACAAGCAGAGGAGGTGCCGAAGGCGAAGAACTGGAGGAAGCTGAAAAAGCTCATGCTACTCAAGAGGTCCATTAGGGCATTGGAGAAGGGTAGAATAGTCAAACCACAGCCGGTTCATCATCATCCTTCAACCGTTGATATCGAAGCGGAGAAAATCGATCTGAGGCGTCAGATGTCGGACGAGAGGAAAAAGGCTGAGGAGTGGATGATAGACTACGCAGTTCGAAATATCGTGACGAAACTAACCCCGGCTCGGAAAAGACGAGTTTCTATGCTCGTCGAGGCCTTCGAAGCAGTTGTCCCACTCCCGGAAATGTGAAATATACGAAAGTAGTGATGAAGGTAAAAGAAAAATCTTATTATATAATTAAAACAAATGCTAATGTTTATAATAGCTGTAATAAATTCACAATCGAATTCTTGATTGCAGATTGTGCTCGAAAGCCGTCGACGAAAGAAAATAGGTTGCAGCAGAATTTGGCCATAATAAGCATATTAAATGCAGGTTATTGTATGTGTCACAGCTCAGAATATAGAAAAGCATATTTCTTTGATTCTTTTTTGGTATGTCTGTATGTAAAATTCATACATTGTATATGCATTTTGATTTTTTGAAGATATTGTAATACATAGTGTATTGAGATTGGTGTATTTGTTTGATGTAAATGATGAAAAAGCCTAATTGGGCATTTTTTTTTTATTATTATTATTGTTAGAATTCCCTTTAGTGTAAACAAGGAGACTTCCCTTTTGTGTTTCACGGTACATAAGGACTTGTTGCACAAGTCTTTACTCATCCCTTGTTTATTAGAATCCAATTAGATTCTAACAATCTCCCCCTTTGTCATTGATTGATTCTAATCATTTTCTCCCCCTAAATAAAATGCCTGAAAATAAAACAATAGAGGATATAAGGAAACAATAAAACTAAAGATCATCCTCAGCATCAAAAGAACAGCTCATCATCATAATCTCTTTTAGCAACAAGAGTGGCATCAACTGCTGCAATAGTAAGTGCCACAGTTTCAGCAACAGTTCCCACAGTAGTGACTTCGGCAGGTGGTTCACAACGGAGTCAGCTTCCCCTGCATGTGTATCTCCCTCTGTGAATGATCCTTAGTCAGCTCCTCTTGTAAATGCATTCATTAGCTCCTCCTTTTATATTCTTGTGAAGACCTAAACCAATTAATGACAATAAACATCTCCATAGGTTTCCACTTGGTGTTGTGGACTTAGAATCCCACCGAGATTCTAACACTCTCCCCCTTTGGCATTGATTGGTCAGAACATTTACTCCCCCTAAATATATGATATATGCATGAACAAGGGTCAGCAAATTCAAAATAACATCTGCAAATATAAACTGTTGTAACAGTTTATCAAACAGTTCAGCAGATAGTGTACAGTTGTTCAATTAAGCAAAGAACAACGAAAAATATGCAGTAGGAGAATCAACTTCCCGTTACAATGAATTCCTCCTTATTTGTCCTGTATTTCTGCACTATTCCAACAACTGTATGATGCATTGTCTCAACAGTTGTCTGAACTCTCCCTGCATTCCTGCACTGTTCCAGCAACTGTCTGATGCACCGTCAATGCAACCAATAAACTTAATAATCCCAAGTCAAACACAAAGATGCTCTTATTAGGTAGCGTACACACACACGTCTAATGGTAGCTTTTTCCCATGAAAAACAGAGCAATTAAAAGGAATGAGATTATGGTGGTCGTGCAATGTGTAGTCCACTGGGCTTTCTAATTGAGCCTTGTAGTGAGTGTTCGGTCAAGTGGTTTACTGGCTCGACTCAACTAGGCTTCGAACTATTCACTGACCATATGTGTAATTTATATTGGCCGTGCAATGTGTAGTCCCCTGGGCTTTCTAATTGAGCCGTGTAGCGAGCTTTCGGCCACGTGATTTACTGACTCGACTCAAAAAGGCTTCGAACTATTCACTGACCAAATGGTTGTAGATATATATATTAGTAACGGTAGATCAAGAGTAGCTTTCACTCATTAAAAGAGGCAGCTTTTCCCTATAAAAACATCCAACCATGACAAGACTATTCAGAGAAATAAATAAGTTGGAGCCTTTTAAGTAATCATTTCGGGAATTGGTGAAGTTCTACGCATACAAAGTTTAGAAGAACACGAAGTATCAAATTCACATTTGTCTCAATCATATCAGTATGCTTAATGCAGGTCCTATATGAGATGCAAAAAACATATGAAGTGTCCTACCACTAAAAGTTGCAAGTCTGGACACACAGACTGTTGCAACAGTTAATGCAACTGCATCAGATTAAACAACATAAATTCCCAGCGATTTTCGCAAGGAATCAAATCTCTGTGCATCAAGGGTTTTTGCAAAAGCATCAGTTAATTCATTCTCCGTTGCAGCATAATCAATCGAGACAACCCCCTTTTCGACCAAGCCCCTTATGAAAAGATGACAAATATCAGTAAGCTTAGTTCTCGAATGCTGAATTGGATTCATAAACTTATTTTTCGCATACAAATTATCACAATTCAGATTACCAAGTTTTTAATTCCCCAAACTAGCTTTGTCACCAGAACTGTTGGAACAGTTAGTACTATCATCACATGAGTTTAAAGAAGTAATGGCAGATAAACAATTAATATCAGACTTCTTTACCCAGATTTTTTGTTGAGTTTTATTCACTAAATCAACCTTTATCTTGGGTTTTTGAGACGACACAAAAGTGTGATCAATTTTAGCGGAGGTGAGCGGGCCATTATTCTTTTAACCATTTTCAAGTATTTAAAACACATGGGTCGTATATGACCAGGAACATGACAAAAATGACAGGTAGGAACAAAAACTTTTCTCTGAAATGGCTGTGTTGGTTCAACTGTCGCAACAGTCTGTGAAACAGTGGATTGCTTAACAAAATTGATTTTTCTTTTAGGATTTTCTTTCTGTTTCGATGCACCAGTAGATAGCTGGTTAACCCCTATACCTATACGACAGTAGTTCGGCTGATTTTTGTTCAAAATTTCATTCAAAGTTACTCTACCAGTATTAAACTTATAAATAACATCTTGGGTTTGAGCAAATTTAGCCTGCAAGCTATCTATTTCTCTACTAGAAGAAATAACATTTTGTTCAAGAGTAGAAATTCTTACCTTTAACACTTTATTTTCCTCTATGAGAACATGCTTATCATTTTCAAGGCGCTTATCTACCTCAGATACTTCAAGCCACTTCCGGTACATTTTTTCATATACATCTTTCACCTCTTCGAGGGTTGGCTCTTCATCATCACTACTGCTCTCAGATTCACCTGCAAAATTAAATGATGAAGTCAGACTATTGTCCTTATTTAAAGATAATTCATCATACCTGAAATCTGTCGGACTGACTGTTGCAACAGTTCCCTCGGTTCTGCTCATCGAAGTAGTACCACTGAATGCCATAAAGTTAGTGGTTTGATCTCCTTTGCTGTTCTCATCCTCATCACTGTCCTCTTTATCACTCCAAACAGTGGTGAGTGACATCTTGTTTTTCTTCAAAGTGTTCGCACACTCGGCCTGAATATGTCCAAAACCCCCACACTCTCGACATTGCTTTCTCCTAGACTTTGCATCACCAAAATAACCATTATTAGAAAACTTTTTAAATTTGTTAGGGTTAACAGACTTACCTGATTGAGAGGAATTTTCTCTATTTTCAATTTTTTGACGCAGGCTTTCGAGGTTATTTGACATAATTGCTAACGATTCTTCAACATCAGTGTCACACTCATGAAATGTTTGGCCTTGTGAGATGCCATGGGAAGCTTCAACTTGGAATGCCACATTCTTCACCTTTTTCTTTTCTCGAATATTTGCTCTAAAATTCATTTCTTGGGTTTGCAGTTTACCCATGAGTTCATCTAGCTTTAGCGTATTGATATCTCTCACTTCTTCGATTGCTGCAACTCTGTAAGCGAATCTTTCTGGTAATGAACGTAGTGCCTTTCTTACCAACTTTGTTTCGGAGTATTGTTCACCTAGTGCATACGATTCATTTGAAATATCACACAGCTTAGCGTGGAAATCAGCAATCGTCTCGTCCTCCTCCATATGAAGACTCTCAAATCTCGTGGCTAGCATCTGCAGCTTAGATGTTTTAACAGTTGATGTGCCTTCATATGTCACTTGTAGAATCTCCCATGCCCTTTTTGCTGATTCACACGATGCTATCAGTTTGAACTGATTGTCACCAACGCCACTGAAAATTGAGTTTATCGCCCTTGAGTTGTAATTGGCAAGTAATATCGCTTCATTAGTCCATGCTTCTTCTGGTTTTACCGTTTGCATGCCATCCATTCCTTTAGCCATGGGCGGGGTCCAACCAGTCACGATAGCACGCCAAGCTTGTTCATCAACGGACTTGATGAACATCTTCATCTTCGATTTCCAGTAAGAGTAATTTGATCCATCCAAGAGAGGTGGTCGTACTGTAGACGCTCCTTCACGATGAAGCATATCTGCACAAAACAAATTAAAAAATTAAATCCCAAAATCTCACTAAGTGTATCTAGTGACAGGCTCTTGATGCCAATTGTTAGAATTTATTTCGTGCAGATATAAATTATTTGTGTCAGATTCAGTTTTTTGTTACTGTTGCGTGCAGTGTTGCAACAGTTCGTGAAGCAGTTCGTAAAAACAGAAATAAACGAGACACAAATTTAATGTGGTTCGGATACAATTGTACCCTACATCCACGAAGACCTGCAAATAAAATTTACTAATTTTTAGTTTTACGAATACAATATTAGGACTTAATCAAAATACAAAGACTCCCTCTTTGTTGACGCCGTTCTTGTATACTACGCTGAATTATAAATCTTCAATTTGCAGCACGTCCCTTGCTCCGCACGGTTGAACTCCCTTCAACGCTGAATCCCTCAGTCGGCGGATCGATCTCCTCCCGAGATCTGTTTAAGCCCCTCTCCCGAAGAACCGATCTTCTTTTTGTATAGAAGAAGCAAACTGGTGATACTCCTTGAATCTTGGTGTCTTCACCACAAAGCCTTGAAGTCGATATATTTCTATGAAAATTACGTATCACGATGGAGCAATAAAAACGAGAGCAAATAATATTTTCTCTGTGAATTTTTCTCTCGATAAAAAAGACGCTGGAAGAGCGACACAGAAAAGAGAAAATCTTTCTCTCCAAAAAGCCGCACTCAATCACGTTGTAATGTCTTCCCTTTTATATGTGATTGAATCTTCCTGTACAAGAAAAATAATTAGGTTAAAGAGTCATGGTCAAGAAGGAAAAGGAATTTCATAATATAGAAAACTAAATATTTATTTCTTATCTAATCTAATTTCCACAATTAACAAAATACTAATTAATGGAAATAGATGAGAATACGTAAGAGGAATTCTTGACTTTTATTCCTAATAGAAGACTCCTTATAATAAATAATTCTTAATTAATGACAAACAAGAAAAATATCAATATATAAAAGAAATCTCTTTCTCTTTCACAAATCACACGTATGAGTGTAATATATGGCAAGAAGGAATTCTTCTTTCACAAGACTTCTACACAAGTCATTAAGTTAAGAATAAATCTTTTTAATTAATAAGATAGTTTCCTATATAAAAGAAACAATTAATGACAAATTAAAGAATTAGAGTAAACAAGGAGACTTCCCTTTTGTGTTTCACGGTACATAAGGACTTGTTGCA